GAATGGTGGTATCCCTCTTCTGACCGATCTATGTCTGGCGATGAGATCTGACACAGTGGGAATGATCAGGGGACTAGAGGAGGTCGTAACTTGTATTTACGGACCAGCGGTTACGTACGCCTTTCCGGACCCTTTAGTGGCGGCATACCGCAATTCAGTGGTACACGTGAGCTTAATAAGCGTGTTGGATGGGACGTCGTTGAACTGGTGTCGACAAGAGGTGATGAGGGCACGAATGAATGATACAGCGCTCTTTGGGAAGGTGAAAGATCCCGAGTTGGTAGTGTTTAACTTCCGGGGGTAACTGCAATGCAGGATGGGGGGAAAGCGTGAAGGCCCCATTGAGACTTATCCCAAGTTCTGGAATCTGAATCCCCTAACGGCGGACGGACAAGAGATCCTGAGAATCCCCGCGTGGAAAAAGAGCTTCGAGTTGGTAAAAAGGGAGCTAGAGGCGACACTAGAGAAGGAAATCTTGCCCGCAACCAATCCTGAGTTCCCAACAGTCAGGAGAATGACCCTGGGGATGAATAGCTACGGTAGAAAGAGCTACGGTAGAAAGGCAGCAAAAGGAGTTCACCGATGGCTGGGATCCCTTGTTCATTGGGTATACAGCAGCGGTCTACTTCCATACTTGTGATATCAAGATAAACTCATGGACGACTCAAGCGAAAAAAATGAGAGGCTCAATGCCTCCAAAATTCGAGGTTCGGGACATCTTGAGAACACTCGATCAAGCGAATCTAGAGAATATGTTGCCGGTGTGGGACGACGGGAGAATGATCGTGAGAGAAGGACACATTGAGTTGAACGACGAGATGAAATTTGCCACACGAAAGTACCGGGCGCCCTACGGGTGGAGATGAAGCAGGAGGAGAAAGAGCTGGACGCGGCGGGTTCCTTATATGCAGTTCTTACGGAACACAAGAAGCCGAATCCAGCAACACCCTCACCGCTGTCAGTGGGCACCCCTGGAGATAAGGGGAGCGGTCCCGTAGAAAACAGATTTAGGGACATACTTGAGAAAAGGCCAGCCGACTCAGTGAAGCAGGAGAGGAATTGGAAATGGGTGATACGCCAGAGCCGAAACCAGCTGAGGAGGATATCACCGCTCAGGAACTGTTGCAGAACCTAAGCGGTGAAGATTGAGTGGACACGGCCACGCCACCTCTGACATCATCCCCTCGGAAGAACGTGGAATTACCCTTGACCTGCGAAACTTCCAACATGGGAATGATACTCTTGAGTACAGAAGAGAGTAAGAAGAACACTTTCGGAGGGAATAAGATCATAATCTTGGGGACTCTGAATGAGAAGGCATGGAGGGAATTCTTGAGTGAATTTAATCAGAAGATGGAAAGTGAGATCAAACTAGAATACTTCAAAGAAGAGCTGTGGAGCACAGTGGTGAAATTTGGGGAACCTGTCTTGATGGGCACCGGGCTGGATGAGAGAGCAAGAAAGGAGCTACTGAACAAGATGGTCAAATTGGGAGAGACGCAACATAAAACCGGGAATGATGAATGTACAGACATCTCTACTCAGAAACAAAAAATGATGATAAAATGATTAAAGTTAAAGGGAAGGATAGACTTAAGACTAGTAATATGATTTAAAATATTAATATCCTTAAGGCTCGAGAAGGGGGAGGCAAGAGTCGGGAAGGTTGGACCGGGACAAAGAGGTCGAATCGGTGATGATAGTGACGACGCCCCCAAGCAAAGGTATGAAGTCTTGAAAGGGGAAACGGGAGGTAGAGGAGTTGACCAGCCCGTCGGTGGATGCTGTCTCTGAGAAGAACTTGAGGGAGACTGCCCCCATGATTCTAGCGCGGTGGAAGACTGCAGCCTACAAGAGTAGCTCCGAACCAAGGAAGCTAGCCGAAGTGGTGAAGGAGATAGGGGTCTCGACAAGTCTGGCAACGGAAGAAGCTTTCAAACCTCAGAAGACAGGCTCGAGAAAGGGCTCGACGAATGGTTAAACGTGGGAAGTGGATGTTGGCAAAGAATGGATCTCGTTCGAATATCAGGATATTGGCAAACAAGTGACCAGCGACCCTCTTGAGAAGAATGCGGTAAGGAATACGGCTCGACCTTGGTGGTTGGCCCTAGAGACGATGCAGGAATTAGAGGACTGTCTGAAGAAGCTCGATCGTGGGGTGTCCCGCAAGCGTCGCAATTGGGCTACTCAACAAAAAGCCGAGGTCAACAAACTGGAGTTGGGAAGTCAGCTAAAGCGAACTTGGCAGAGCCTGTTGCGAGATTATTTTGAGGCGGCGATGAGAACACCTTCATCAGCATTGCCTCTAATGGCGAATCCCTTCGTCAGAATCGCGGGACAACTGATGTTCGCAAGGAGCTTAGTGGGAATAGAGTTGGAGGTCTTGACTTCATGTGACAAATTGAAGTTAGGCAATAAAAATCTGGAGGTCTATTAGCTGCTGGTACAAAACGTCGCGAGGGACATCTCCGGTCTGAGTCTGGCGAGAAGAAAAGATGCCACTTGTTTCTTGAGGTGGATAATGTCCGTAATGACTAATAGTACCGTCCAAGCGTGTCATCAGAAGGCCATGGGGAGCAAAACCATGGAGAGAAGAGTCTCCACCGTCATACTGAACGTGTACCAGAGTACGGGGATCGAGAAGGAAGATGACTCGAAGCAATCCCTAGAGAATTATGGGAAACTTGACGAAATAAGAAGATTGCACAACAAGAAATTTGAAGAGGGGTATGATGTGCATTGTAACTTGGCCTTGGCTGAGGATTACTCGAGACCCAACAAACGGGGAGAGTACCAATATGTGTCTGGAGTGATGGGGATAGCGTACAACCCTTTCTTGAATTCAGAGGCCGGGAGCGCTCACAGGAATCACGAGGTGACGGAGCTATTGAAGTTTTGGACAGAGAAGATAATCGTAATCGATTCAATGGAGAGGGAGAAACCGAGCCCAGGCCCGCTACTAGAGGCGACACCCAAGGTGATAAGCGTACCGCGCTCGAGCAAGAGAGTGGAATTGAGAATGGGGAATGGAAATAGCACGATGACTACGAATTTGGGAACGGTTTGGAAATTGCTGTGACCCTCCTGGTGTCCACATCCCCATGCGAGCTGGATTGAGGAAGTCACAGAACGAGTGAGGCTAACACCAACAAAAGATGAGGACCTAGGAACTTTGGACGTCATACACAAATTGATCCTACCACAGAGTAAAGAGTCAGGCGAAGCAACGAGTAAGCTAGGATCAGTAAAGAAGTTGGAACCTGGCAGCTGTCTTGACTTGACGTGCGGAGGCGGAGAGCACACCTGTGAGGGACGATCATGTGTCAGAATACAATCTTTCCAGAGAGAAGACCTAGTCCCTTGGTTTGGCGACATTACAGAAAGAGAGAAGAGCAAGGTGCAGATAGTGGACGAGTGCTATACGAACACTACACTGAATATAGCAACGGCGCTGGGGTTCTTCTCTAGAATTTGTAGTCTGCAATCACTTGAGATGCTGGAGTCTGAACACCATTTGGTGACTGCGTTAAGCATGGAGTCGTGGCCGGGGGCGTTGCAAACCACCCAGAAACATATCAGAGGGTGGAAGATTGGTCTAGAGGCGGAGATGAAATTTCCCGTGAGCGAAGCTTATGGTCTGCCTGTAATTGCAAAGTCCTTGGTGGGATCAGTAATGGCCAACCTATGTGGGAGCCACTATCCATTGCACATGGCAATGGTGGAGGTGTCCAGCCAAACGATACTAGTGGACAAGGCCTTCTCGGTACCCAAGTGCGTACGATTGGCTCGAATGTCGCATCATTCACATAGGCTGTTGAGGAAGATCCTGGGAACGGTGTCAAGGGCACAAAAAGATGACTTGAGTGAAATCTGGTGGGAAAAACTCTTGGGCTTAGAAGACTAAAACAGGAGTGATTTCGAGAGACAGAATGCCATCGGGAAGCCGATGAATAGTGTCCCAGCGCAGGAGGAAAATGATATGACGCACGAGAAAATGAAATGATGGAACTAGAGCCTCTGCTGGAAGCCTCGGGAGAACGCAATCTCCGAAGCATAGAGATTACACATGGGGAACGCCCATGCCATTGCTTGGCACAGACAGTGTGGTACCCGGAGCACTCAAACCTCTGTTTAGTGTGGGATGTGGAAGAGATTCGTTCGATCGGATTACCAGATCACAGACAAAAGGTGACACTGTTGGTGGTGAGCACGATGCTGGCTTTGCGATGGATCGAAGAAAAAGTGACGAAATATCGGGAGTCGAAGACACCAACGGCAGAATAAATATACGCTATAGATTACAGCAGGAGACTTGAGTTGTTTGAGACTGCATACAAGGTATTTGCCATACCAATGGAAATCAGGCACGTATGGAGCCGCATAAGGTTCTTTCCGTGGTTTCGAGCGACCTTAACATCTTGGTTGTATATGATGACGAAAGACCACATGAAAAAACATTATCGGCAGTTCCTGGCGGAGATAGGACCGGAAGCCTTCAAGAGACCGCTGTTGACCCATCGAAATGCGATCACGACAGGTTGGAAAAGAGTCGGTAGGGTGTCTAGAGACAATACCAAAGCGAGAGAGTCGATACTGGAGGAGGACTTGGCGAAGAACGTGAGCTTGAGCCTGCACAATTCCTTTTGCTTGAACAGGGAATTGAAAGTGAAAGGTTTACCAAATCAGGCAATGAGATTGCAGGAGCAGAAGGAGTTGATGCGATCCTTCGAGCAATTGAAAGCATGGGAAGAGATCGTGATCAACTCTTATGATGAGGAAGCGCTGCTAAGAGAGATCACGGTGTCAAATTCATCGGGCCCTAGTACTTCGAAGGCTAGGAATACGAAGTGAGCAGGGAGCTCATTGTGGGTCTCTTGAGTCTTGAGAGGGAAAGGAGGGGGCTCGAGTGTGAACTCGGATGAAATCCGAGGTCACGAAAAAGAAATTTTAACGAAACAAAGTATTGTTATTAATATGCTATAATTATTATGTAAATCAAAATGACAGACGAGTGCAACGAGAACGCAATGAAGCTGTTCGAGAAAGCGGGAAATCTAGCCTGTGGTTTCAAAGCGAAACGGAACTTGAGCCCGTGGCTAGATATTCACCTGGAAGAGATCGACAACTTTCAGAACCTTATCTCTCGACTTACCCAGGAAATGAACAACAACATCCTGACAGCGAGAGAAGAACGGAAGACGGTCAGGAAAGACTACAAAAAAGCAAAGAAATGGTGGGAAGAAGAGTGGTGGATGGAAATTGTCGAAGACGCGAGGAAGGCAGAACTCCAAGGCGACATCGAGACGCTGTACAAGACACTGAAGCGTATTGGAATCAGAGACAGCTGCACCTTTGAGCACGAAACCTTCAGCCCCGAAGAGTTCCGAAGTCACTTTATGAAAGTATCAGAGAACAGATACGAAAGAGGACAAGACGAGATCGTTAAGACTCTGGAAGAGATCCCCGAGCGCACCGACCAGACAGCACTGGAAGCGGCCATTGAACTGGAGAGAGTGGTCACGTGGAGGGAGTTTGAAACGGAGTTGGCCAAGATGAGGGATGGAGCACCAGGGAACGACGGAGTTCGGATGCTAGCAGTAAAGGTGGCCAGCAAACCAATTAAGCAGCAGCTCCACAGGATGATTGTGCGGTTGATAGACATGAAGCCGGAGGACTGGCCAGAAGAAATAAAGGAAGGCTGGGTCATTCCCCTGCACAAGAAAGGTCCCAAGAACGACCTGAGCAACTACTGTGGAGTGTGCCTGTTACCACTGGCAAGCAGACTGATCGCACGGATCTTCGCGACGAGACTCCGGACATGGGAAGAAACCATTGGCGTTCTGGATGAGAACCAGAACGGCTTCCGTGATGGAAGGTCTACGGCTGACTCAACGCAGATCATTATCCGGATGGAAGAAGAAACAAGAAGAGTGTACGGGATGACAGACGAGTGCAACGAGAACCGGCCAGGGGCTGTCCTCCAAGACATCACCAAGGCTTACCCTCGCACCAACAAACCCCTTCTGTGGGGTATGTTAGCCAGATTTGGCATGACGGACAAGGTGCTCGACCTGCTGAAAGGTCTCCATGAAGAAACGCGATACCGGGTGAAAGGAAAGGAAGGTCTCAGCGATGATTGGGCCCCCGCCAAGGACTCAGAGAGGGTCCGCAACATCACCTATCCTTTTTAACGTATACCATGCCGAAGCAATTAGAAGAGCTGAAAGAGAACGGAGAAAGGAGGCGGCGGAGAGAGGCCAAAAGTACGGTCTCACCTGGAGGTGGACACCAGGAGGCAGCCTCCCACCGAGAGAAGCGCCCAGAGCATTGCGTAGCAGCAACAAGTGTAATTTCATCCTGGAGGACTCGTTTTTCGCAGACGACATCTCTCTACTTGGTTGGATCGAAGAGCTCGTCACAGGGAAAGAGGTGATCAAGAAGAAAATGATGGAGTTTGAAGAGAAATGCCACGACGGCAAAGAAGAGTCCATCACTTTTGCAACAACCAGCGCCCAGAAGACTAGAATGCTGGGAATCCTCATCGGGAAACGAGAAGACCGAGGAGCCAGGATCAAGAGAGGGTACTACGCGTGGAGCAGAGTGAAGCAATGGCTCTGGAATTCGAGCCTCTCCAAGCGCACCAGAGCATTGGTGGTCCAAGCCGTAGTGGAGTCCACTCTCCTGTTCGACTGTAGCGTTAGAGCATGGACACCGACCGACATCCAGAAGTTCCAGAGCATTGCAGACAGAGCCTACAGGTTTGTGTGGAACAATGGAAAACCTCTCACACTGATCAGGATGCAGAATGAAGGAGTCAACAGCTACGAGATCCGCAGACAGCTGAACATTGAATCGATAAGGACCAAGATCGAGTGCAGAGCATTAGAGCGAATGGGCCACGTTCTCAGAATGGATGAGAGGATTGTCGGATGAGAGGGTTGTGAAGAAAGCCGTCCTCGGATCCTGGGACATGGAGAGGGCACGCAGAGGGAACTCGCGAGGCAACACCATCCAGTACTGGCGCAGACTGCTGAAAGAAGCGGGACATGAAGACGACAACAGCGAGAACCTCACCAACGGCCGGAAACGATGGAAGAAGACCGTTACAGATCGCAGGACGTTCCTCAAAAACTGGGAGACGCAAATGTGCAACTGGCACAGAGGATTGGAAAAACCGGCCCGCTCACAATGGAATCGAGAGAGAATAAGTGACAGCGGTTGGCCTTGCCGCTGGGAGGGATGCGACAAGAAGTGCGCATCAAAAGGAGGACGGACGAATCACGAGAGAAAAGCACACAGAAGGGAGTCAGTGGACTACAAGTGTCCAAAGTGCAACGACAGTTTTTCGGACCAGGCTGCTCTGACGAACCACTTCAAGGCGTGCCAAGGAGGTCAGGGGGGGTTCTGTCCGAAGTGTCAGAAGTCCCTGTCGTTGAGCAACATGGCAAGAGACCGGAGGACCTGTCGAGGAGAGCACCCGACAGCCCCAGAAGTAACCAACACCATTATCACAGGACGATTCGCCGGAACGAGAGCCAGAATCCAATGCGAAGAATGCGGTACTTGGGTGACAAAAAACAACATTTCAAGACACAGGATCACATGTCCTGGAAACTGGGAATCAAGGCCCCCTCATGGGGCGTAAATGACAAAAGAAGAAGAAGACGGTGTCAAATTCATCGGGCCCTAGCACTTCGAAGGCTAGGAATACGAAGTGGAGCAGGGAGCTCAATGTGGGTTTCCTGAGTCTTGAGAGGGAAAGGAGGGGGCTCGAGTGTAAACTCGGATGAAATCCGAGGTCACGAAAAAGAAATTTTAACGAAACAAAGTATTGTTATCAATATGCTATAATTATTATGTAAATCAAAATGTTGAATGAAAATTTCCTGATTGGATAGGACAAAAGAAATTTTAATCATAAGCTTCAAAAGAGGAGATTTAAGGTGCAGGTTTATGAAAATGTGCCAGTCGGTCATATTTGGAAGTTTGACTTTGAGGAACACGAAATACGTAATTTTGGGAGGAATTTTAATTTTTCAAAGTTTCGAATGGAGCCTGTCATGCTCAACTTTCTCGCGAAAACTGAAAATCTCAGAATTAGAAGATGAAAACATCCGAATTACAATCGCGGAAAGTACCTAAAAAAGCAGCGGGAAATTGCTATTCTCAATTTCCAGATACAAAATAAACGCGAGTAGAGCCTGAATTATTCGAACCGAACTAGAGTGAACCCTCAGTGGAAAGGTGGACAACTGGGGTGTCCCAATGGTTCAGACTAAAACTTTTTTTACTAGAGTCAAAACTCATTTCCCTTATTGAAATTAATTAGTATTAAACTTCTCAAGTTATCATACTTAATTCTCGAGTTGCTCATTAATTTAGTTACCTCTAATTCTCAAGTGTGCCGACATGTGAGTCCTCAATTTAGTTTTCTTGAGTGTGTTTTATGATTGTTATGTTGAGATAATGAGAGTTTTAGGTTGATCCATCTGAAATGGATCAAATTTCCACTGTCTAAAAAAGTAATTGTGCGGATTGTTCCGACCCTGTTTTTAACGGCGTTCGTGTATTTTGGGTATTTTGAGACCTAAGTATGGGGACGTTCTTATTTTCTAGAGTGGGGGGTATTTTGGTAGTGGCCTTTAAGCTGTAATGGGTTTTTAGTCTCATGTCGCAAGCGAACCGAATTCGCTCCGACCATTTTGAGGTAGAAAAACACGAGAGATAGTGTCCCTGACTCTTGAGCCAATGGTTATAGGGCCTATTCTTCTTAAGCCTCAAATGTGACCGAAGTAGGCGACTGTTACATAGTGTTTTTATGGCGCTCCTGGGTGTTTTTACGACATCATGACCACGGAGTCGAACCCACTTGACGCAGCTCCGGGCTACATGCCCATTCTAGAGTACCGGTGGTACGGTTCAGCGGGAACGTGTAAACCTTCCGGTTGTACGGTGATAGCTTTTTAAGAACTCGAGAAAACTTCTTGGTACGCTCTCCGAACGAGGCTTAGCTAACCGAGTAAAGGGGGGTAACTAGGGTGGACGAAAAAACGAGCAAAAGACAAAAAGCGAAACAAAAACCGAAAAAGAACAGAAAAAGGAACAAAAACTAAAAAAAAATGACAGTGACTTTGACACCAATTTAGTTGGATCAAACCTTTATATTAATTAAATAGTGTACGCATACTGTTTTTCTTATAAGACCGATCGTTTCGATCATTTCAGCAATCTGAAAGGTGCCCGAGTGTGGGGCGTTGTGAAGGGTTTTCAGATAGCTTGCAACTTAGCTGGACCCTTAGGAGACTTGTCTGGAACAGGTGGCCAGCCGAGTGGGAGAGTGGTTCACAGGGACTTAGCTGGACCATTAGGAGACTTGACTGGAACAGGTGACCAGTCGAATGGGAAAGTGGCTCACAGGGACTTAGCTGGAGATAAGAGTGGTGCTGGTGATCAGCTGCAGGATAAGTCTAAGAAACAACCAGCACGGCCAGAGCAACTAGAGAAGACGGGGGTGTTCTCAAGTTGGTCAAACGGGTATCGTTAAAATCCACATTACATTATAGGAGATAAGTGTAAAACTGGATAAGCGGAACCCCATTGTTTTGAGGAAGTTTTTACTCAAGCAGGCCTGGAAACAGGTCTACGGTTTTCTCTCGAGAGGTTTAGCACCCGGCGCTTAAGGGAATTTTCGGCTTAAGAGGGGGCTAAAGAGGGGGGAGGTTAGAAGGGAGGCTGGATAGGCTAGAGGTTGGTCGTTGTAAAGTGTAAAAAGGGGGGACACATTAGAGTAACTAATTGATCGGCGTCATCGATTTAGTTACATTAGATTCTTACACTCGTCGGTTATAAGAAGCGGATATCCGAACCCTGGTCGGATCGGGAGGGGGGAACGGACATAGACAGTTTTTGTGATACCCCATAAGATCGCTAGAAGGGGGGAGGAGAACGCGTGGCAATCAGGTACCAGACATTTTTTTTTGTTGTTGTTCAGAGAAAGGGCTGACACAAGTCACCTTTGAATTTTAGGTGGGTAATTTTTTTTTTCGCTTTTATCGATATTCATTTTTTATTTTTTCTCTCTGTTAAATTTTTATCGCTTTTGGAGAAGAAAGTTTTAATCGGTTTTGGACAAACAGGTGATCACAAGACACCTCGAACAAGTTGGGTTTCAACTTGCGGCAAAACATTAAAAGGAAATAAATACAAGGGGATTGGTGATTTTTATTTTTGTCCAGTAAGGTTGGTTTTTTTTGGGGAAAGTTTTTACTAGAGCTCGAGTGGTGGTACAAGGTACAGTGGTTCAAGGCAGTCTTAGGACAGGCAGTCTTGGGACAGGCAGTCTTGGGACAGGCAGTCTTGGGACAGGCAGTCTTGGGACAGTCAGTCTTGGGACAGGCAGTCTTGGGAAAGGCAGTCTTGGGACAGGCAGTCTTGGGACAGGCAGTCTTGGGACAGGCAGTCTTGGGACAGGCAGTCTTGGGACAGGCAGTCTTGTGACAGGACCAGAAAGTCTTGGGACAGTACCAGAAAGTCTTGGGCCAGTACCAGAAAGTCTTGGGACAGTAACGGAAAGTCTTGGGACAGTACCAGAAAGTCTTGGGACAGTACCAGAAAGTCTTGGGACAGTACCAGAAAGTCTTGGGACAGTACCAGAAAGTCTTGGAACAGTACCAGAAAGTCTTGGGACAGTACCAGAAAGTCTTGGGACAGTACATAGAAGTGTTGGGACAGTACATAGAAGTGTTGGGACAGTACAAAGAAGTGGTGTGACGGTACTAAAGGGTCTTAAGACAGGTCAAAATAACTAAATCAAAAGCAATAGGACTAGTCGGAACGATAAATCGCGATAGATCGGATTCTATTGGGATCACGAATTAGTAAAATTTTAATAAATCTTAAAGGGAATAGGAACGTTGTTTTTCTTTATTATTATATTTATCATAAAAAAATTTTTTTATTCTTAGATTAGGATTTTGTAAATAGTAATATTGTAAATAGAAATAAATTTGAATAAAAATCATGAGACGGAGCCGGGTACCGATAGCTGAAAAAAGAGCTACGAGTCAAAGACAAAATGTAACTCGTCGCAACGGAAAGTGACATCGGTTGACCCAAGAATGACAAGAAAGAACTTTTCAGTGAGCATGGTCAACACAAGAAGTTCAAAAGAGAAGACGAAAGAGTGCGCGGA